CATAACCAGAACATAAAAAATAAAAAATAAAGGGTAGAATTTTGGGAGATATTTGAATCTTATTTGGTGGAATGACCTTGTGTCAACCAAGGAGTCTCAATGTTTGACTAAGAAATAAAAAGATAAAAAAAGCAATCAATTGAATTAAGGAGAAACCCCACCACTACCAACAATATGTTTTGTTTTGTAATTCCATGTTATGTAGTTCACTTCCTTTTTCAAGAGTCCCTCTGTAATAAGTTGACAACCCAAAATGTAATCTCAAATCTCGCTCACATGATAGGATCAACTAAAAGGAAAAGGCAAAAAAAACATAAGGCACGCTCATATCTCTCTGCTTTCTCTCTTAATTACTGTTGCGCATGCCTAAACATATATGATTATATATTTTTTATATATGCTCAAAAAGTTTTTGCATGGACCATCAAAAGTAACTTTTTGGCTGTGAGAGTGAATTTTGATCTTTATTGCATGCCCATCAACCCTCCCCAAAAAATAAAATATAATTTGACGTTTGTAGTTAGACAATTTTGGACGAGTTTGCAGCTTTTGGAATTTTTTTATATTATTTTTTTTATAGATTTAGCATAATTATATATATATTTTTAAATTTTAATTCACATAACACTTAATTTTTTTTTATACTAACGTCACTTTTATATTGAAATATATGCATTCTCTACATTTTGAGTTTAAGTCGTCTATGCCTTGCCAATTTGTTTTGGAACACCTTGTGGTGTAGTTTATATATTCTAAATCAATTGCATGATGAAAAAATTTAGTCGGAGGATATATTGACTCACTTTTGTTTGGTAGTTAGAAAATAAATGATGAATATATTTGGTCCATATTGTAATTTTTCATTAATTTTGAGCCGTACCCGACACGTTTTCCACTCCATTTAATATTCATATTATTGGATCGTATAGTATTTGTATTTGTGTGAAAGAATAATTAATCATAACTCTCTAATTATGTGTACGATTCAAGTCATTAATGGGTCGCATGTCAAATTTTCACTTCTAATGCTTATGGATAGTAATACTGCCATGTGGTATAACTCTTATGAACGATTCAAAAATAAATAAATAAATGAACAAACTGGTTACAAAATTCAACTATTTATAAATAAAAAATGAAGAGATATGTTTTTTTGTGATAGCCAAAAGTCTTGGATGGCTGGCTTTCATTGACAATCACTAAGAGAGATCTCGGGGAGCAACATTCTGTGTACTAAAAGTTGAAATTTACTTCTTCTTCTTCTTATTTATTTATTCTTTTTTTTTAAATTAATTTATTATTATTTTGCATTTCGACAAAAATCGAAGCAATTTTGGCCTGTCTCGATTAAAAAACTTTGCAAGTTGAAGTTGCAAATTTCAGATCACAATTCTCTGTTTAATCCAATAACCCATCTTTAAAATTCAAACAAAATTACTTTATTTTAAAATGTGTTTATTTGTTATTTTACTTTAACTCAAATAAGTGAATTGTGTATTTTACCCACTTGTTTTACTAATAAAAAAAATACAACAAAAACATTCCAGAAAAACTACAGCGTCCTTATCCAGAAATTTCTCAGTCAACACCAACAAAACTAAATAAGTTCAAGATTTTTTTTTTAAATTTTTCAGAAAAATAAGTTCAAGAATTTGGTTAGTCAATATTTAACAATGACCCATATATTAAGATATTGTGGTACAATAAAAAAAACATCCAATTAACACATTAACATATAGGGATTGTGAAGATTGAACATGCAAACAAAAAATATCATTTCTGATACAAAAAATAATGTGGTAATTTGAGATTTTTTTGGGGGTAGAAATTTTTTGTTCATCTATCATTTTCCAAATGCATTATTTAATGTACTTGTGTCAGTTTTTCACGGAAAGGATCGAGAAATTCTTCAATAGGCAGATAGAGTGACCCCTTTGAGACGAGTAATTTTAAAAAAATGAAGATAGACAACAATGCCTCCACATGCCTGCGTACTTAATCTAAGATTTGTACTACAATAATAATACCCAAAATATGATAATAAATATATAGAGATGGGCCTTTGTCCATGGACTGGACTTTATTGTTGAGCTCGTAAAGTTCATTATAGGTCTCATTTTGATAATTTAAACTGTTAATGTATAGAACTTGTCAAATATTTTATTTTTGTAAAAAATTACATTGATTGGATGTCGATAAACTCTTGATCGAAATATAGTTTTGTTAGCAATTTATTTTTAAAATTATATTTACCATTGACAAAAATGTGTTTTGATTAAGGGACTATTAATATCCAATTAATGTGATTTTTTGCAGAGATGAAATACTCGACGATCTCTACATATTGAACGATTCAAATTATTAAAACGAAATCTGTAATGCGCCTCATGAGTATAACAATACGGTTGAATAGAAGCCTGTCTCAAATATATAGGGGTGTTTTGAAAAGTTGGTAAAAAATTGATTTTTTTAATTTTTTTTAGCTTATTTTGTCTTTTTGTAGATAAGTTATATATGAGCGGTGATGTGATTCAAAATGAGTAAAAAGCTAGAAGTTGGCTTTTTACTAACTTTCCAAAAGACTCAATAATAATACAAACATATTAGATGCCCAATAATGCCTTTTAGACCATCTCCAACGGTTCACCAAACTTGATATCAAATTTAAACTTTGATGAAAAAGTTACTGTTTGATGCTCCAACGGTTGCACCAAATCGATATCAAAATGAGATTTCACCAAACGATTCATCAAACCGAGGACGGACTTTCCATTTTACCAAAACAATGTACATGACCGTTGGAGGGAGACGAACCGGTCGACCAGCCAGTTGACCGGCTGGTTGACCAACCGGTTGTCCATGAAAAAGTTCAAACAGTTCAACATTTCTAATTCAAGCAATTCAAAAAAAAAAATAATTTCCCTCATCAGTCGACCAGCCGGTTGACCAACCGGTTGTCCCGAGACAAATTTGGTGAAAGGTGAACCGTTGGAGCATCTGGTACCAAATTGGGAAAATGGTGATTTTTTTACTCAGATTTGGTGAAAAGTTTGGTGAACCGTTGGAGATGCTCTTAGGATTGTCTTATGTGCGATGGACTATCTTACGCCTCCTCATTCGTGCGGACAACTTGGAACAAAGAAATTATTACTTATAAATTAAATCAAAAAAATTATCAAAGAATAAATATATACACCCTTTTAAAAAATATATACTACATGCATTTTTAATTATATTATTTTTCATTTTAATTATAATTATTTATTTTTTTTAGTTATAATTTATAAGTTCTTTAGTTATATTTCATACTATATTAATTAATATGACATTTTTTTTATATCATTCAAAAAAATTAAAATTATATTATTATTTTTAATTATAAAGTGCATATAATATATTTCTTTAAAAGAAGTATCCACCACAATGTTTCCCAATTAATATAATGGTCTGTCAAAGTTATCTTTATTGACTAGTCTGCTCATTATTTTCACAAAATGTAGGCTTATTGTGCTAACATTTACATCATTGTAGAGGATGGATTTAGCACACACTGATTGAGGTTAAGATGTAAGGCATTTATTCCCTCCTGACTTACAAAACAAATATGACAATTAGCGGTAAACATTTTGTACGAGGAAAGTGTTTGGACGGTTAGGTTTTGTAATTGGCAATTTTATTTGATACAATTTTTTTAGTTGAAATTTTGTTCACTTTTTTATTTTAATGAAGTTATGGGTGTTTAGATGTGAATCCAAGCCGAATTGTACTTATCCAGAGGAGTTTGTGATCCTAATTCTTCTATATTTGTCACTTAACTGGCTATGTACAGAGATCAAGCTGCCCAGTTCGCTCGCGGGAGTTCAGGAGACAACGCCCCCTCACGAGTTCGGGGCAGCGCAACGGCAGGGTTGAGGGGCAATGCCCCCAAAGCAAAAAACAAAAATGTAGGCCCAGTAGTTTGACCGCTCGAGTAGCCATTTTTGCGCTCGAGGTGGTGAATAGGAGCATTCAATACTTTTGCAAAGCGCCTGCACTTCAGGCAAGAAAGTTTTACCGCTCGAGCAATGAAGTTGCGTTCGAGTGGTCATCCTATATAACCAACGTCATTTTGGAATTTGAGCCAGTTGAGCCGCAATTATTCAAGTTACCTAGCAAGATTGATTAATTTTTATGTAGTACCAATTTTTTTTTTCTTTTTATTTACATTTTAAATTCATATACACAAGACAATAAATGTACATAGCATCACTCAATGAAGGGGTTGTTTCAGAAATGTTAAATTAATATGTTTTTGGATTTTTTACGAAAAAAAATATGAAATATGAGTTAGGATTAAAGTGATATGGTAGAGAAATAGTATGATCTAAATAAGATGTGATGTGATCCAAATACAATATTTGTGACCAAAATAAGATAATGTACTAAAATAACATATATTATTTTAATACATGTTAAACAATCTCCGAGTCTAAAATTGAAAAATAATAATAAAAAATAAAAACATATATATAACATTTTTCATATATTCTAAGGTCATCTCCAACGGTTCATCAAACATTGCATCAGATTTGAAATTTGGTGAAAAAGTCACTTTTCGGAGCTCCAATGGTTTCAGCAAATTGATATCAAAATGATAATGGAACAAAAAATTCATCAAAGTGAGAACAGGCTCCAGATTTCACTATTTTACTGTGCTTTACCGTTGGGGGAGACCAACCGATCAACCAGCCGGATATCCGGTCGGTTGACCAACTGGTCGACTGGTTTCCTTTCAAATAGGTAGGTTCAAACAGGTCAAAAGGTTCAAACAGGTTAAAAAAAAAAATTAGCCTGACCGATCGACCCACCGAATGACCCTTTCATTTTGATGCACCGTTAGAGCAACTCATATCAAATTAAAAAAATCAAAAATTGTTTACTCAAATTTAATAAAAAAAATAATAAACAATTAGACATGCTCTAATAGTGCTAAATAAATACCACTTCCATTTTCACCATGTACCCAAATTGATGCCGTCCTTTCTCTCCCCGGCCCTTCCCTTCTTCTTCCCCCTCCTTCCTCCCCCGCTCAGTCCCCAATGGCCTAAATCAAGAAGATAAAATAAATAGACATCTCAACACATACGCTTTGATAACACAAGAACAGGAGAGAGAAAGGAAGAACCCAAACCCACACAACCTTTCCCTTCTCTCTCATAGGGAAGGCCTCATCAGAAAACAAGTCTTCATTCCCTGGCTAACGTGCGCCTTCTTCTCTAAGAAATTGGAAGCTCCAAGTCTCTCTAGATGGGTGTCGAAAGATTACTACTCTTACTGTGGCTGCTAACGTGCGGCAGCCTCCCACACTCAACCCATCCAGATCCAGACGACGAAGCATGCCTAACCCACCTAAGCTCATCCATACAAGACCCAAACAACAACCTCCAGAACTGGACCCGAACCACCTTCCAGAACCCTTGCTCTGGCTTCACCTCCTACCTCCAAGGCGCCACCTGCAACAACGGGCGCATCTACAAGCTCTCTCTCACTAACCTCTCTCTCCGCGGCTCTCTCTCCCCATTCCTCTCCAACTGCACCAACCTCCAAGCCCTCGACCTCTCCTCCAATTCCCTCACCGGACCCATCCCCTCCGACTTCCAGTACCTCGTCAACCTCGCCGTCCTCAACCTCTCCTCCAACCGCCTCTCCGGTTCCATCCCTCCCCAACTCGCCTTCTGCGCCTACCTCAATGTCATCGATCTCCACGACAATCTTCTCTCCGGTCAAATCCCCCAACAGTTGGGTCTTCTCGTCCGGTTATCGGCTTTCGATGTGTCGAATAATCGGCTTTCGGGCCCGATTCCGGCGTCGCTGGGGAACCGGAGTGGGAATCTGCCGAGGTTCAATGCGACGTCGTATGAAGGGAATAAGGATTTGTATGGGTACCCATTGCCACCATTGAAGAATAAAGGGCTCTCGGTTATGGCTATTGTGGGGATCGGATTGGGAAGTGGGTTTTTGAGCTTGGTGCTTAGTTTCACTGCTGTGTGTATTTGGTTGAGAGTTGCTGAAGAGAAAATGGCTGCTGAAGAAGGCAAAATTACTCAGCTCATGCCTGAACCAACGTCATTTTGGAATTTGAGCCAGTTGAGCCGCAATTATTCAAGTTACCTAGCAAGAAAAAAAATGTAAAATTCGAGGTGGGTTTTGATCAGTTTTGTTGTCTTCTTTTTACAAATTTTACTGATCTCTGCAACTTTTTCTTTGCTCATCTTGTTTCTTTGGTGTCTGCGCTTCTTGTTTCACAATTTTTGTTGGGTCGACAATTAACAATGTATAAAGAATTAATCCCATTCAAATATGAGATTCCTAGTAAATACTCGATCTCTTTCTAATTCTGTGTGTTTGTAAATGTTGAGCAGTCTGTGTTTGTTATGTAACATTGTACGTCTCTGTTTTCTCTTTTTTCTCTCAGTGGGGTAGGTTGGGACTGTTTGGTTGGTGAACCTCTGCACCGTATCATTTTGTCTTCTCCCTGCTAAATTTTGAGTGATAATTTTGAAATAATATGTGACATTATTTACATTATTACTTAATTAATAATTTTGTAGGGTGTAATTTTGTATTAATTATCTTATGTTTGATTTATTATTTAAAAATTTATTTCATAAAATTTGTTAAAAAAATTAAAATTTAATTTGCTAAAAAATAAAGAAAAAATAGAAAGCATGTATTATTTTTATATAATTTTATATTTTTAGAAGATAAAAGTACTTTTAAAAATGTTTTTAATATATATATATATTTAAAAAAATTATTTTTATTTGTTTAAAATGTATATTTATATCTATTTATTTTAATATCTACAAATCTTTGGCATTAGACCATTTCTAACCCTGAATCAAACCTAGCATCAAATTTAAAATTTGGTGAAAAAGTTACTGTTTGGTGCTTTAACGGTTGCACCAAATCGATATTAAATTGAGATTTCAGCAAACAATTCATCAAACTGAGGACAAAATACATATTTCATCAAAACACTGTGTGTGACCATTGGAGGGAGGAACCGGTCAACCAGCCGGTTGCCCGGCCGGTTGACCAACCGGTCGACCGAATTTCTAGGTTCAAACCGGTCAAAAAAGGTTCAAATAGGTAAAAAAAAAAATTATATTTTGCCTTACCGGTTGACCGGCCGATCAACCAACTGGTCAACCCACCAACAACCCTGAACCAAACCAAACCTGAGCATCTTTTTTCAAAGGCTGTGTTGAAGGAAGCTGTGGATTTGGTAATCGATCTGAGAGAATTATGACTATTTGTTTCATTTGGGTTTTAATGGAATTGAGGTCTGTGAATGCAGGAGAATCTGAGATGTAGCAGAAAAGGTCTCTCCACTGAGTCTGCTCAGCAGAGGTTGGAGCTTTTTGGGCACAACAAACTTGAAGAGAAGGAGGTGCTATTTCTTACTAATACCCTCTTTGGGATTTATGTTGGGTTTGTTTCAGGAGAGTAAATTCTTGAAGTTTTTGGAATTTATGTGGAACCCTCTGTCATGGGTTATGAAAGCTGCTGCTATCATGGCGATTGCCCTTGCCAACGGTGGAGTAAGAACTCACCGTTTTGATTTGTATAACAATATTCATCTTTGCCTTCCCACTTCACTGTTAGTAGGTAAAAAAAATAATAATGGCCTTACCGGTTGACCGGCTGGTTGACCCGTCGGTCGACCAACCGGTCGCCCCTCCCCCTTTTGATGCACCGTTGGAGTCAGTGGTATCAAATTGAGAAAATCATTCCTTTTTTTCTCAGATTTGATAAAAAAAGAAGTTCACGGTTGGAGATGCTCTTAGTTAATTATGTCAAAAGTGTGGTATTAATTATATTTTTTTAAATTTTAAGGAAGGTGAGGTAATTTATGGTGTATTGTGAAGTAATGTTGTGATGATCAAATTATATAATTAAATTTGTTTATTATTTAATTTGTCATCAATGTATTTATGCTAAGGCGCCACCGAATGACATGTAAAATGGCACGTTAAATGAAGCAAATTTGATGCAAAATTTAGTTATTCTAAAATTATCAGAGAAAAAGACACCAAAAAAAAAAAAATTGCTTCATTAATTTCATTCCCACTTGACACAGAGTTGAGCATTAGTGCATTAGTGCTGTCAAAAAATGTCCAGTCAATACTTCCACTCAATTTTTTTTGTTCTTCTTTTGTTTTTTTTGTAATAAAATCAATCCTGCCAATTTATAGATTTTGTCCAAATGTTGAAAAAAAAAGTCAGTTTTGTTTAAAGAAATCTAACATTTTCATTAGGTTATACTTTTTTGTGGAACATTTTAAAAGTATTCTAACCATCAAATCTTTCGATTTAAATAATTTAATCTCTATACTTTCAACTTTAATACAGTCATTTTGTCTGAATTTTTATTAAATTTTTTCATATGTACACCTTAAGATATTAACAAATACCCAAAATTTGTTAATTTTAATATTCAGTTTGAATGAAATGACCAAATTAAAATTAACTTGAAGTGTAGAATCAAATTGTCTAATTTTAAATAATTCATATCTCAGGAGATTGACAAGTATAATAAAAAAAATTATTAATTTTAATTTTGAATTTGAACGTAATGACCAACCAAATTGAAACTAAATTCAAAGTGTAGTATTATATTGTCTAATTTAAACCAATAAGGATTTAAGTAAAATTTAACTCAAATTATACAAGTTAAAATTATAATTTAGGCCAAGTTTGACATGTTCAGGAAAAGTCAAAAAAGTCAAAAAGTTACTTAAAAAGTTAAAAAGTTAACACTATTCACCAAAAATCAACAATTACGGCTGCACAACTTCCAATTCTAATTTTCTCATACAAACCAATTTTTACAATTTTTTATTACACATTTTTTTATAAAAAGTCAAAAAATTAACCCAAACATCCATATTTTCTTCCTCAATTTTTTAATCTAAAAAGACAAAAAGTACACTTATTTAGGATACCCCCCACAACCCCTTACTCTTATTAATGTGTGTTATATCTAGAATTAAATAGCAAAGAATTAAAATCGAAAGAGAGTTTTGAAATTATATATATTTACAAATTAGTTTCCAGTTGGCGGAGGAGGATAATTAAGTGGTTAACATGATTGTGGTTTGTTGTTGATATGATGTTCTCGACCTAGCTTTGTAAGTTTTGAATTCTTTTATGTTCACTTTCTTATGTTACTTTAATTTTTACATATTGTAGGTGTTGATTTTTAACCTCACAATTAATCAGATCTCACGCAATCAAACAAATATTTTATAGAGATTTAAGGAATTTAGCCGAAGAGCACACGACAGAATAGATTAAATCAACATATGCACACAAGAAGATAAGAAATATCATAGTGGTCCACCTAGGGTACTCCGACGATCAAGTCAGTGCCTCATCTCTCAAAGATATCAAATAAGTAAACAATTCACCAGAGAAAAGCCTACCTTAGACTCACGGGTGCCTTACTTTTATAGCTAACAGTACCCTCGTCCTCTAAAAGTCTTACTTCATAGGACTCAAGTATAACACTTATCTCGGACTCTTAGTTAAATAAGAATAATCCCAATAAAAAGTCTCATCTCTATGTGATCTAAGCGCTTCAACTTATTTATAACCCTTGTCCTCTATTAGAATATTTTGGGTTGCGATATTATCTCACCATATCTCGGCAATATTACAATAATCTCGGTATCATAGTTCGTCCACGTGACAACGTGGCACGACCATAGAAATATGTCTCCACACTTATCTTGTTTATTTTTATTTTTATTTTTATTTTGTGTCAACAAATCTTTTAATATGTGAAAGTTTTCAAATGGTGTAAAGATGCCAATAAATAGCTAGGGAGAGAAAGAGGGTGTGAGGGTTTTTGTGTATATATATTTAATGTTTTTCAATTTTTTCTATGATTAATAAATAATGTACAAATGTGATACATATGATCGTAATTATAGATACGAATACTTTTTTTTTATATGTTTATAATAATTGTTTTGGCAAATGCAAAGATGATACAAATTAGAATAAAACAAACAAAACACATAAAAATTTATGTGATTTAGTTACAAGATTATGTTCATGGGCGAAAAATGACAATAAGCTTTATTATAAATGTATATATTACAATAAGTGACGAAACTCATAAAATTATCGTAATTCTAGAACTCTCAAATAACGAATATACAAACAAAGGACCCGAAAATAGTACAATAGACTCAAATAAAAATAAAAATAAAAATGAAAATAAAAACAAAAACATATATATATATATATATATATATAAATATATATAAATGATGTCGTTGGCAAAGCATGAAGAGAGGGATAATTGTTGGAGCATAGTGATGGAGAATAGACACCGTGGAATGATGTATGAGAAGGGTCCACCACCCAGACCAGTCAAACACCACAAATGCAATGTCATTGAGGGAAGTGGTCTCTAGAAAATGTACAATATTATGACTTTTTATGTGGTGGAATTTACATTTTGAATAAATGAATTTGAACTGCACAATATTTTTATAATTTTTATAATTTGAATTTTTAATTTCTAATATTACTTTCTATATAATATCTGTTGTTATTTCTAGAATCTTATTATAGCCAAAAAAAAAAAAAAAAAAAAAAAAAAAAAAAAAAACAAAAAGAAAAAGAAAAAAAAAAAGCAAAATGGTATCTGTATTCTATTTGACTTGAGAGCATATTTTATTTGCTGTCAAAATGAAATGTGATATCTGTTGGAAAAAAATAAATTTTTTGATGATTTTAATTTAATATTAATGTCATGATCTAAACTCACTCCTAAAAGTTTGGTCCATGACCGGCCTGTACATAGGCCTCAAAACAGAATTTTAAAATAATATTTAACCATATATGGGGCCTTAGGCGGAAACAATATCAATAAAAGACAACATCTATTGAGCTTGTGCATACATGATGGTTTAATTAGATTTAAGCATTTAAATACATTCCAAATATACCTATACAATCACAGATTTTATATAGATCTCACATACTCTTACATAAGACGTAATAATTTATAAGACTCCCAACAATAAATTAAGGCCTCTATGTGGACACATATCCCAGGTGACTTGACAGACAAGCGAACCTCA